TTACCTAGATCGAGTTGAACAACCTGGCCCGAGCATTGGGCTTGCCGTTCCACTTGTGCTCATCACAAGGCTTTGGCGGGTTCTATTTCTCCGATCTGGGGCCTCGCCACGAGTATATTGTAACCCGTCCTGCAGCTGCGGGAAGCACTGCAGCACCAAGTGCACAAGCAGCCTCTGCAGCTTCGACGTCGACGGCACAGGCCGCAGAGCCACCGCCCGACGAGCGGAACAAGGCCTCACAGCCTTCTCAGCAAACATCCGAGAAGACGCAACAGAAGAGGATACAAGAATTTGTGACTTTGGACCAAGCCCTTGCCAGTGATTGGAAGGGGAAGAAGAGGGTCAGAATATCACCCGGAGTTTGGGCTACGTGGGGTGAGTCCGACAGAGGAGCTTTGGTCAAGGTCGCAGCAGCCCCCTGACAACGCTTTGGGAACCGCACTCAAGCACTTTGGAGGTATACATCGAGACAGCTTGCTAGCGAGCAAAGAACAGCGCCGGCGAGGGTGGAAGATTTCACGAGCGAGATCGATGAATTGCTGGAAGCTAAGGGAGTCTCTCAAAGATCAGCTTTTGAGCAGCAAGGTGTAGACAAGAACGCCTTCATTAGGTGAGGGACGCTGTCGAATCGGAAAGCTCTATTGCCGGTCTTGTTCGAAAGTGCTCAACATTGGTGCCATGCTTTGCTACCTAAGCACTTTCTTGGCAGCGCATGACCCAGCCAATGCGGGCGAGCTGAGTCCTGTTTGTGCCATACTCGGTGGCGTGTTGGCTCAAGATTTGCTGAATGCTTTGGGCGGGAGGGAAGAGCCCGTGTGCAACTGGTTGCAATTGGAAGGACTTGCAGGTGAGTGAATCCTGGCCCAAAAGACCGCGAGCAGTATTTTGAGATGCCATTGCTGAGATTGCGGTCATTGACCTCTGACCAGGCAAAGGCCCGGTCCACAGTATTGGTACGCGGCCGAGTCAAGTCTTGCTTGAGACTCGGACGAATGCGTGAACATCTCGCTCCAACATCTTTCAGCATGACTTGCTATCGTCTGCTGGCAGAGCCCCTTGCACCAAAAAGTGGCGCTTCGATTCAAGCAGGCGCA